TCACCATTACCTCCGAAAGCTAACATATAACCGGTGTCGTCATACGGCGACCTTCCTTGCCTGCTTTGTGCTGAAAACTGATCAACTGGTTGGTGTGAAAGTCATGCCCACGCCTAGCCGCTCTGTGAAAAGAGCTGGAGTGGTAAGCCTGAGACAGGGTACCCAATATGAGACAGGTGTACAGGGTAGCATGATCCGATCACAGGATATTCTTTGTGAAATATAACGCACATTTGTCCGTTGTTTTATTTCAGTCCCTTCGTTTGGCTTTGCCTGGAATGCGTGCATTAACATGGTATTCACAAGGCGTGCACTCAGCACATCAGTTCAAGTGGGTATTCCTCCTGGATTGTGCTGCCGATCTGGGCCGAGCTGGCCCGCAGAGCCGGGGGATTGGGACCACAGCGCCGCCGGCCAACTGTCAAAGGGCCGCACAGCGCTGTCACACATCCTGAGAAATGTGACCTTCAGCAACACCGACGGTCATTAACATTGTTGAAGTTATTTTCACACTCATGAACATAACGCTAAAATCGAGTGCTGTGGGGGAGTTTCGTGCATCATCCCATTTGCTTTCAATATACCACACCCTAACAAGTGTATTCCGTTGTAATGGATTTATCTTGTCATTCCAGAGGCCGCGCCCTGGAGCACGAGCTCATTGAAGCTCGGGAAGAGGAGAGTGTACCCGGCACAGGAGGACGGCCGCCTGGCCGAGCATCTCCGACGGAGCTATGATCATCGAGGATTGCGTGGTGACGCAATCCTCCATGCATCGAGGATTGCATTGGTGACGTCAATTTAGTGACCTTATTATAAGTCCATCGGAGAAAATTCAACTCGTCCTGATTTGCGTCAAAATGATCCCAAACAACCAAAACATGCTAAAAGTGATATTCTCTGGTCATCCAAGGTCAGCTATCTTCAGTTACTGTTGCTGACGGACAAAACGGTGGCGGACGCACACACGGCGGATCCATCGGCTGTGGAGGCCACCTCCTAATCACCTGTCGCGGGAGCAGCATCCGCGGACTCCTCGGCTGTGGACGCCCTCGTGCCACACGCACCCGCTGCAGACGCACCTGCCGCACCCGCTGCACACAAACCTGCAATACACACACCCGCTGCAGACGCACCTGCCGCACCCGCTGCACACAAACCTGCGACACACACACCCGCTGCAGACGCACCTGCGATACACACACCCGCTGCAGACGCACCTGCCGCATGCACATCCTCCGGCGTACCTGCAGAGGACGCACCTATGATTGAAATGGTATTTTCAGTGACCTGACCTGGTATTATCAGTGACCTCCAATAGCAACATATGTACTTAGGCAACTTACGCCCTACCGCGGATTTTCGACAATTGGAGTTCCCTCGACAAATTTGACAGGGCTATCGAACGCTGTTTGAATTTTGCGGATCCGTCCATCAGTTTCGGAGATACGAGGGAGGGGGCCAAAAAAGACCCCCCCCAACGCGCGGAAGGTGGCCGGGAGGCCCACCGCCTGTCGGGTTAACCAACGCCATTGTTTATTACTCCCTCGGTGCCCCGTGTGTCGGTCGCAGGTGCGGGGCCAGGAATGCCAGCGCGTCTACCTGGCCGCCCAGCTCCTCAGTGAGCGCGTGGCCAAGGCAGTCTTGCACATCTTCGGAGAACGGTACCGGAAGGAGGCGGAGTTCATCGCCCTCGTCGACCAAGCCTTCGACACGTTCAACTCCCGCCACATGTCGGACGACAAGCTGAAACGGTCGGCGTTTGGGCTGGCCCATACCATCGACGAGCAGTACTCCTGCCTCCTCAAGTTCATGCAAGTGATGCGAGACGCGCGGGTGGTCGGCAACCCCTCGATGCTGCCCATTCAGAAGTGCTTCGTGATGTCCTCCGCTGCTCTGCGTCCCCTGTGCAGCGCTTTGCAGCGTCAGCGCGGGATCAGCTATCTGCTGACCTCCCGGCTAAACCAAGACTGCGTCGAAAACTGCTTCTCGCAGGTAAGCATCCTAACATCAGTGCAAATGATGATACAAATCAAATAATACATGCGCAATTATTCTTGCAAGGTTAATTGCCCGGTGAACAATAAGACCAACATACACATTGGTTATATCGCAAAGCATGTTATCCTTGTGTAGTATATCACCACGATGCTCGTTTAAATTTGGTGGTTGTATTGCGTCTCACTCCATGTATCTAGCTTACTATTTAGTTTCTATCCTTTGACAACAAAACATGTCTCTTTGAACACCACGACGCCACGATGCTACACCTGGACCACGAGCTGCCAGTGGAGCCAGAGGTGCCGGACGCGGACGTCACCGCGGTGGAGAACCTGGTGACCGCCCGCCAGCCGTGTCCAGGAACCGCAGCCAGCGCCGGCGCCGCCCCTCCACCTGCAAGCCTTCCCTCTGGAGCAACCGGTGTCGCCAGTCTCTCCAGGCAGGCGCTGGCGTACGTCGCGGGGTACGTGGCCGCTAAGTGCGCCACAGTGGACAGCACGCTCGGCAAGATCACGTCTGATGCCAAACAGGTACCCCGTGACGAGCGCCACGCCTGGATTGACACACTCAGCCGCGGCGGCCTCACGGTGCCCAGCGCGCGGTGGCTCGAGCAAGTAGAGCAGCTGGAGGTGCTGTTCACCACCATGCACGGAGGAGATATCGACTGCGGCACTGGCGTCGTCAGCCAACTTGTCGAGGCTGCTGCGCAGAAGTTCCCGCAGCTGCATCCACGCGTAATGAGGTACGCTATGACTAGGACGCAGCTGCGAATACGTGAGATTCGACGCCTCATCGGCGACCGAGAACGTCTTCGAAAAGAGCAGCCTACCTGCAGCCGGGAGGCGAAGCGTGCACGCCTTTACGTGCACCCTGGTGACTAGTGTTCGAATGTCGCACGACTCTGTGACACCTCTGCGCGTCACAAGACTGTGCCTCTATGCGTGGTATAAGACTTTTGTGTGTGGCTTCTCTGCGTGCTGCAAGACCAGGTGGACACGCCGCTGCACTGGCTATGGCGGGAGCCGGCGGCGGCGGCGCTCTGCAAAATACCAGCTGGAGCGGTCGAGGGAATGCTCAGGTATGGTATCTCATGTCAGTGTTGACTATTTTAGAAGTTGATTGGGCCGCTTAAGTATTGACACACGACACCTTCTTCCTTGGAGGCCATGGCAAGGCTTACAAAGTTCGCGTACATAATTATCTTAATGACAAAAGGTTCCTTTGCACAGTTAGAATATAAGTGCTAAATTTTGACGATTTTTTTTGTCATCACTAACGTACCCTACACTGTTTATAGGCTAACTGATTCCATTTGATGCATTTGGCCAGTTATTAATGTTTAACATCATAAGCCTTTCATTTCAATGAAAGTTTTTCATCGAATTTATTATCTAATGCGTTTTGTTTCGGCTACACGTAATCGCAGTAGATAATGCAATCTATGAATAGGAGACTTTGTAATTCACAGGTGCCGTAGCGGTGCCGGCGATCATGCTGCTACCGTGCGGCAAGACCAGGTGGCCGCTCCGCTGCGCCGGCTGTGGCGGGAGCCGGCGGCGGCGTGCCGCAAGACGTTAGTGTGGCCTCTCTGCGTCCTGCAAAACTGTTGTGTGGCCTGCGTGTGTTGTTGTTGGTCTGCGTGCCGCGCCGCTGCGCTGCTGTGGCGGGAGCCGGCGGCGGCGGCGTGCCACAAGACTAAGTGTGGCCTCGCTTTTGTGCCGGTCTGGAGCACAGCACGGCGGCGTGCTGTGCTCCAGTGGCGTTTAGTGTGGCGTGGTGGCGATTTTTTTTTTTGGCATAGCAGGGAGTGGTGTGGCTATATTAATTGTAACGTAAAGCTGTTGATTTATTGACTTATGTTGTTCCAGCCACATTGGGTTAAGGGGCACTCCTGGCCGCGTACTCAGCGTGGCGTGGTGGCGAAATTTCATATAAATAACGAACACGTGACACGGGCGATGCGGTACGGGCCACCGCCGGCCACTGGCGGTTAGGCGACCGCAGCGCAGCCTACAGTCGGTATGACGGTGTGATAACTGAGGTGTCTCGATGGTATGTTTGACACGTTGTCATCGCTGACAAATTACTGAACCGCGCGGCTGTGCTATCAGGGTCCAGGTGTTTGCCATTGCATTCAGCATATTCCGTTCGCATTGGCATTGGCTAGTTTCATTATATGTAATGTGTTGGCCGCAGCGCAGCCTACCGGCGGTATATCGGTGGATAACTGTCAGAGTGACGCTGCTGGGCGTCCCCCGCGGGCTAGATGGGTGATCCGCTGCTGCTCGTGGAGATGTTATCAGCTCCTTAAGAACAAGTTCTAGTTCCCGCTGCCCGGACTCTCCACCATCCACCGCTGGACTCGAGGCTTCCGGACGTCACCGGGGATCCTGGACATGGCTCTGCAGATCGTGCGCTCGTCCGCAGATACCATGACGTCGCTTGAGAGGCTGCTCGTCATGTCCTTCGACGAGAGCACTATCGATCCCCGCGTGACGTACGACTCCACGAACGACGCGGTCTATGGCCCCAACGACAAGATACATCATACAGGTGGTGATGGTCCGCTCCTTGTGCAGTCATTGGAAGCAGCCCGTCTTCTTCGACTCCAACAACGACGTGCCAAGGACCTTTCAATAAACAATACCAAAAGTAAAATCTACCTAGAAAGTAGTTTGCAGCTGACATCAATATTCATTAATCTCTTTCAAAAACGCCCGTGCCTCACTACGTTGATGGCACACAGTTTTTATTTAGTCGTCAGGACTCGCACTCAAGCAATTGTTTTAAAAGTGTACCGTACGTGACTGTTCAAAAGCAGCAAACACATTAATCAGGTGACGCTGCTCACGGTGCCCGCCTGATAGTGCGTAAGTTCTAGTTCTATGCGTACGGGGATGCCGTTGCCGGTCGTTACCTAGCGGACGGAATGCCGTTCCCCTACGGACGGAACGCCGTTGCCCAGCGGACGCGAATAGTCCGGGGCGTCGGAAGTGGAATCGGCGTAATTTTTGTCCCTACTGCGAACGGCCTCACGCGAAATTGACCAGGCATCTTCAGCGGGCACACGCGACGGAGTTTGATGTCGCGATGGCCCTCATGAAACCGGTGCGCTCTCTCCAAAGGCGGAGAGCACTATGTGCTTTGGCAAAGTTGGGCAATTATCGTCACAACATAGCGGTCAGATCTGGGGAGAAAAGAGGGGAGCTTGTCGCGTGTAACAGGGCTCGTACACTGAAATCCGGAGATGACTATCTGGCGTGTAACGTTTGTAAGGGGTTCTTCCTCCGTGCGACCTTGTGGCGACACAAGCGTGTGTGCAACCCTACAGGAGGCGGAAGAGTCCAGGCCGCCGCCAGAGCAGCGATGCCATCGAACAGCGCGACCTCTTCAAAGCTTCGCAAAGTGCTCGACTGTATGTGCATTGATAGTGTGTCCTTGCTCTGCAAAACAGATGACACCATTCTTTTGTTCGGCGAGTATCTTTGCGCTAAGCTAGGCACCGAGAACAAGGATGTACAAAACATCAGGAACAGGATCAGGGAGCTGGGAAGGCTGTTGGAAGTGCTGAGAACGAAGGACCCAGAGGCGAAGCTGAAAGACTTCATCGAACCACGACGGTTTTCGGAACTGACCACAGCCGTTCGTGAAATGTGTGGGTTCAGCTCGGAGAGCCACAAGTATGCCACGCCTTCTTTGGCGCTGAAAATCGGACAGAGCATGAAAGTATGCGCGGAGCAGATCCTGGCTCAGCAGATCGAAAGTGGCAACGAAACGTCACCGACAAGGCAGTTCATTGAATTGTACAACCTTCAGTGGACTAAGCAAGTATCGCGACACGCTCTTGTAACTCTGCAGGAGGCGAAGTGGAACAAAGTAGAAACGATGCCTGTAGCAGCCGACATACAGCTGGTGCATCGCTACCTGGACAATGAAACGGAACTCAAAGTTGCTGAACTCACAAACGATCCCACCCCAGCAACCCACAAAGCTGTGGCAGAGCTGGTACTCGCGCGCCTTATAATGTTTAACAGAAGGAGGCAAGGCGAGGCGTCGGCGATGACGATCGACGCTTACCAAAAAGCTACCTCATCTGACGGCACAAATCACCCTGAGGTTACCAGCTCCCTGAGCAGGTTTGAACAACACTTGGCAGGAAGTCTACTCAGAGTCGTTATCCGAGGAAAGAAGGGTCGCGGAGTGCCGATGCTGCTGACACAGGAGATGCGAAGGACCGTCGACATCTTGCTCGAGCATCGGGAAGCAGCGGGCGTTGGCGCGTCGCAGTATGTGTTTGTCAACTCCATGGCGTCAGACGACAGGCCTCTCAGGGGTGCGGACTGCCTGCGGAAGTTTGCGCGACTGAGCGGGCTCAAGAATCCGGAATCACTTACATCCACCAAGCTCAGAAAACACATTGCAACGCTTTCCCAAGTCTTGAATCTCAAAGATAATGAGCTGGACTTGCTAGCCGGATTCCTAGGGCACGACGTCAGGGTACACCGAAGTGTGTACAGGATGCCTGAGGCAACAACCCAGCTGGCTCTTGTCAGTAAGCTCCTTATGGCTTCTGAACAGGGAATGGGAGCATGGAGAGGCAAGAGTCTCGGTGAGATACAGTTTGAGGATATCCCCGATGTGGAAGAGATACCAGATGCAGATGAGGACGCTCAGGCCGAAGAGACTGCTCCGCGAGCTTCTTGTTCTCAAGCAGGAAATGTCACAGAGGCGCAGGACAGTATTGGAGGAGATGCCGAAGAAGCCGAAGAAGTGAGTGAGCCGAGAATGAATGCTCCTCAAGCCGAGGCTGCACGTCCGATGAAGAGAAAGAAATGGACACCAGAGGAGGATAGGGCGATTCACAAGCACTTCGCACACTTCATCAGCCGTTTCCAAGTTCCTGGAAAAGTGGACTGTGTGAGGGCGATCGCGGCGGAGAGTGCGTTGTCCGCAAGATCGTGGACAGATGTTAAGAACTGCGTATATAACCGCATACAAAAACGAAAGAAACACGGACACTGACAGGTCACTGACGTGTGAGGTGACTTACGAGTCACCTCACGAGTCACCTCACGAGTCACCTCACGAAAGTCACCTCATGAGTCACCTCACGTGTCACCTCACGAGACGTGAGGTGACTCACGTCGCTGTTCAGCTGAGTGTGGATTGTTTTGGGAATACATATTCTCCGTCATTGTCTCTCTTCAGTGTTCTGCTGATACCATTGTATGACAGTAACGAATAGGTACATCTAGTCGTTTGACAATAAAACATGTCTCTTTGAACACCACGACGCCACGACGCTGGAGATGGCCCACGAGCCACCAGTGGAGCCAGATGTGCCGGACGCGGACGTCACCACGGCGGAGAACCTGGTGACCGCCCGCCAGCCGTATCCGGGACCCTCAGCCAGCGCCGGCGCCGCCCCTCCACCTGCAAGCCTTCCCTGTGGAGCAACCGGTGTCGCCAGTCTATCCAGGCAGGCGCTGGCGTACGTCGCTGGGTACGTGGCCGCTAAGTGCGCCACAGTGGACAGCACGCTCGGCAAGATCACGTCTGATGCCAGCGAGGTGCCCCGTGACGAGCGCTACGCCTGGATTGACACAATCAGTCGCGGCGGCCTCACGGTGCCCAGCGCGTGGTGGCTCGAACAAGTTGAGCAGCTGGAGGAACTGTTCACCACCAAGCACGGAGGAGATATCGACCGCGGCCCCGGCGTCGTCAGGCAGCTTGCCGAGGCTGCTGCACGGAAGTTCCCGCAGCTGCATCCACGCGTACTGAGGAGGTACGCTATGACTAGGACGCAGCTGTGATTCGGCGCCTCATCGGCGACCGAGAACATCTCCGAAAGGAGCAGCCTACCTGCAGCCCGGAGGCGACACGTATTTCGGCTACACGTAATCGCAGTTGATAATGCTATTTATTAATAGGAGACTTTGTAATTCACAGGTGCCGTGGCGGTGCCGGCGATCATGCTGCTGCCAAGCCGCGAGACCAGGTGGCCGCGCCGCTGCACTGGCTGTGGCGAGAGCCGGCGGCGGCGTGCCGCAAGACATAAGTGTGGCCTCTCTGCGTCCTGCAAAACTGTTGTGTGGCCTGCGTGTGTTGTTGTTGGTCTGCGTGCCGCGCCGCTGCGCTGGCTGTGGCGGGAGCCGGCGGCGGCGGCGTGCCGCAAGACGTTAGTGTGGCCTCTATGCGTCCAGCAAAACTGTTGTGTGACCTCTCAGTATGCGTGCCGCGCCGCTGCGCTGGCTGTGGCGGGCGCCGGCGGCGGCGGCGTGCCACAAGACTAAGTGTGGCCTCGCTTTTGTGCCGGTCTGGAGCACAGCACGGCGGCGTGCTGTGCTCCAGTGGCGTTTAGTGTGGCGTGGTGGCGAAATTTTTTTGGCATAGCAGGGAGTGGTGTGGCTATATTAATTGTAACGTAAAGCTGTTGATTTATTGACTTATGTTGTTCCAGCCACATTGGGTAAGGGGCACTCCTGGCCGCGTACTCCGTGTGGCGTGGTGGCGAAATTTCATATAAATAACGAACACGTGACACGGGCGATGCGTTACGGGCCACCGCCGGCCACTGGCGGTTAGGCGACCGCAGCGCAGCCTACCGCGGTATGACGGTGTGATAACTGAGGTGTCTCGATGGTATGTTTGACACGTTGTCATCGCTGACAAATTACTGAACCGCGCGGCTGTGCTATCAGGTTCCAGTAGTTTGCCATTGCATTCAGCATATTCCGTTCGCATTGGCATTGGTCATTTCACGATGGAACCGTGCAAATTATATTAGCGGGAAGTTGCGCCATCCCTAGTCACCTCCCACCTCCGCCAGCGCCAGGTCGTGCCTCATCACGGGACAGGCAGTACCACCTAGGTGCGCCGGGGAGAACTACAGGTCGCATAGTGCCACCAGATGTCGCGCACACACGACAGGCGCAGATATATGGATTTTAGAACGTGGGTGATATATTGTAACAGCGTTGATTTCTACCATGAATGTATTTTAGCAACTCACAGCGTGAGCGCAGGCACTGGAGCCACAACGGCTACCACAACTGCACGTAAGTCCGACATACGACTTATGTTGGACTCGAGGCAACGCTGCCCAAGCGGCCTTTTCCGTTAGGACGCCGAGCGACGGAGTGCGCGCAGCGATTTTTTTATTTTTACCGGTTGAAACCCGCGGAGAGTAGAGTGATAGCTATTAGCGGCGGCTACCGCCACCATGGGACGACCAAGAAGGAACACCGGTGAGCTACCAGCTATCCGGCCTGTTAGTTACGCGCGGGCCCTTCGCACGAGGCAATCATGGCGCGCCCCTCTAACCGGCGGTCTATTTGCGTCAGCAAATTAGTCTGCCAAGTTGCTTGAATACTGGCAGTTGGCACATTTGTTCTGTTACTACCCTTCGCCCCATACTAATGTGGCCGCCTGTCTCAGATACTCAGTTGGCCCTCGTATGACGGTGGATAACTGTCAGCGTGACGCTGCTGGGCGTCCTCCGCGCGCTAGATGGGTGATCCGCTGCTGCTCGAGGAGATGTTATCAGATCCTCAAGGACAAGTTCTAGTTCCCGCTGCCCGGACTCTCCACCATCCACCGCTGGACTCGAGGCTTCCGGACGTCACCGGGGATCCTGGACATGGCTCTGCAGATCGTGCGCTCGTCCGCAGATACCATGACGTCGCTTGAGAGGCTGCTCGTCATGTCCTTCGACGAGAGCACTATCGATCCCCGCGTGACGTACGACTCCACGAACGACGCGGTCTATGGCCCCAACGACAAGATACAGGTGGTGATGGTCCGCTCCTTGTGCAGTCATTGGAAGCAGCCCGTCTTCTTCGACTCCAACAACGACGTGCCAAGGACCTTTCAATAAACAATACCAAAAGTAAAATCTACCTAGAAAGTAGTTTGCTGCTGACATCAATATTCATTAATCTCTTTCAAAAACGCCCGTGCCTCACTACGTTGATGGCACACAGTTTTTATTTAGTCGTCAGGACTCGCACTCAAGCAATTGTTTTAAAAGTGTACCGTACGTGACTGTTCAAAAGCAGCAAACACATTAATCAGGTGACGCTGCTCACGGTGCCCGCCTGATAGTGCGTAAGTTCTAGTTCTATGCGTACGGGGATGCCGTTGCCGGTCGTTACCTAGCGGACGGAATGCCGTTCCCCTACGGACGGAACGCCGTTGCCCAGCGGACGCGAATAGTCCGGGGCGTCGGAAGTGGAATCGGCGTAATTTTTGTCCCTACTGCGAACTAGAGGTCTGCACCGGCCGGCTGCAGCCGCGGCTGGCTGCAGCCCCACGGCTGTGGGCCGGGGCGGCTGCAAATATCTCCAAGAACACGGCTACGGCTGTGGCCACGGCTGTGAGATTTCAAGCTCAATCTTAAGTACTCAAATATAAAATTTTAAATCCTTAATCTTACATTCTGATAAGCAGCCTAGCCTGTAAAAATCATGCAAAGGATGCCCAGCAATATTGAAAGTGGTGAAGCCTTTGAAAACCTGTAATGGTTTTACCATTTGCTGTAGAAGAGTTTGCACTCTGGTACAGAATACTAATTATAGGCACCAATTGTTCCTTCATCATCAATAGCTTGACAGTTTCAGAAAATGCAACATGTTGCTGTCACATCCCCCTCAAATCAATCTCAATCTTACCTGGTCATTAGGAGAGCACCTTACAGCTATTGAAGATGAGCGTTCAATAATTCTTTCAGGTAATAGAAAAAGAAATCACGCCTAGGTAAAGGCAGGTAAAGGCTTCATAAAATATTATCTAAAATAACTCTTAGATGTACTTCTGGATTTTCGGCAAGTCCAATTACATAATATAAAACTGGCGCTTTATGTTCTAACTGGCGTGTGAGTGACCGCTAACAGAAAATGCTGATCAACGAAGCCAATGGAATTAGATTATAAGTGAGTATGAACCTTATTTACGGTTAATTCACATGATGGTGGAAACCCTGAACACGTAATTCACATGACGGTGAAAACCCTGAACACAATATTTCTTACGCGAGCTGTTGATTTTACTAATATAATGACGTCTTCCTCTAAAAATGTAAAAATTTGATAATTGATATTTGTTTGAGAGCAAATTTTTAACTGTATAGCATTATTATTGATTAATTATGATTTCTATGGCTGTTTATGGTGACACAAAACAATTTATTGCCACTTCTTTGCTTTTTACGTCATTTGACTCAAGTAAAATTTTTGATTGAAAGAGCAATCGCACGTCCTTGGGGATTTGAGCGAAGATCATTATTTGGAAAAATCAAAATAGATGAATGTTTTTCTTTCTTGGATGCTCACTAGTGTTTTGATGCCTTGCATATCAAATTAGTTGGAGACTTGCTCAGAAGGTTGCTTCAAGCCTGGCATATCACACCCCAGAAAATATGCAGGGTAAGAAAGAAGCAAGAGTTTTGACTAGACAATCACTGTTTGTCCATCAACTTCAGTTTCATTTTCCATACCTAACATTGATAATGAAAAGCATCAGGGTCTGTTGTTCTGTCCCACAACCATGCTTCAGGATTTGGCATTAGATGTCTATTCTACACTGCTAGTGCTTCTATTCTGGTTCGTTGTTTATGTTTTCTGTTGATGTAGGTACCTACCTTACCTAACCTACCCATCTTTCTTAACCCCTTGCAAGGGCTTGTGTAGGCATGCGATGCGCATCAGGCTTCAGGCCTTCGGCCTAAAGCCAGATACACAACCACTTAGCCTATGATGCTTCATGAGCTTGAGAATCTATAGCCCATTGCAATGTGCTTTTGGCTATATGTTTCAACTAAAAACAACTTATTATATACTATTTGGTTGCATTTCATCACGGCCGGCTGACGGCTGGCTGCCCACAGTTTGCCACGGCTGTGGGCGGCTGTGGCTGTGGAGCCACGGCTGCGGGGCGGCTAGGCTGTGGAAAATTGCAGCCGTGCAGAACTCTACTGCGAACGGCCTCACGCGAAATTGACCAGGCATCTTCAGCGGGCACACGCGACGGAGTTTGATGTCGCGATGGCCCTCATGAAACCGGTGCGCTCTCTCCAAAGGCGGAGAGCACTATGTGCTTTGGCAAAGTTGGGCAATTATCGTCACAACATAGCGGTCAGATCTGGGGAGAAAAGAGGGGAGCTTGTCGCGTGTAACAGGGCTCGTACACTGAAATCCGGAGATGACTATCTGGCGTGTAACGTTTGTAAGGGGTTCTTCCTCCGTGCGACCTTGTGGCGACACAAGCGTGTGTGCAACCCTACAGGAGGCGGAAGAGTCCAGGCCGCCGCCAGAGCAGCGATGCCATCGAACAGCGCGACCTCTTCAAAGCTTCGCAAAGTGCTCGACTGTATGTGCATTGATAGTGTGTCCTTGCTCTGCAAAACAGATGACACCATTCTTTTGTTCGGCGAGTATCTTTGCGCTAAGCTAGGCACCGAGAACAAGGATGTACAAAACATCAGGAACAGGATCAGGGAGCTGGGAAGGCTGTTGGAAGTGCTGAGAACGAAGGACCCAGCGGCGAAGCTGAAAGACTTCATCGAACCACGACGGTTTTCGGAACTGACCACAGCCGTTCGTGAAATGTGTGGGTTCAGCTCGGAGAGCCACAAGTATGCCACGCCTTCTTTGGCGCTGAAAATCGGACAGAGCATGAAAGTATGCGCGGAGCAGATCCTGGCTCAGCAGATCGAAAGTGGCAACGAAACGTCACCGACAAGGCAGTTCATTGAATTGTACAACCTTCAGTGGACTAAGCAAGTATCGCGACACGCTCTTGTAACTCTGCAGGAGGCGAAGTGGAACAAAGTAGAAACGATGCCTGTAGCAGCCGACATACAGCTGGTGCATCGCTACCTGGACAATGAAACGGAACTCAAAGTTGCTGAACTCACAAACGATCCCACCCCAGCAACCCACAAAGCTGTGGCAGAGCTGGTACTCGCGCGCCTTATAATGTTTAACAGAAGGAGGCAAGGCGAGGCGTCGGCGATGACGATCGACGCTTACCAAAAAGCTACCTCATCTGACGGCACAAATCACCCTGAGGTTACCAGCTCCCTGAGCAGCTTTGAACAGCACTTGGCAGGAAGTCTACTCAGAGTCGTTATCCGAGGAAAGAAGGGTCGCGGAGTGCCGATGCTGCTGACACAGGAGATGCGAAGGACCGTCGACATCTTGCTCGAGCATCGGGAAGCAGCGGGCGTTGGCGCGTCGCAGTATGTGTTTGTCAACTCCATGGCGTCAGACGACAGGCCTCTCAGGGGTGGGGACTGCCTGCGGAAGTTTGCGCGACTGAGCGGGCTCAAGAATCCGGAATCACTTACATCCACCAAGCTCAGAAAACACATTGCAACGCTTTCCCAAGTCTTGAATCTCAAAGATAATGAGCTGGACTTGCTAGCCGGATTCCTAGGGCACGACGTCAGGGTACACCGAAGTGTGTACAGGATGCCTGAGGCAACAACCCAGCTGGCTCTTGTCAGTAAGCTCCTTATGGCTTCTGAACAGGGAATGGGAGCATGGAGAGGCAAGAGTCTCGGTGAGATACAGTTTGAGGATATCCCCGATGTGGAAGAGATACCAGATGCAGATGAGGACGCTCAGGCCGAAGAGACTGCTCCGCGAGCTTCTTGTTCTCAAGCAGGAAATGTCACAGAGGCGCAGGACAGTATTGGAGGAGATGCCGAAGAAGCCGAAGAAGTGAGTGAGCCGAGAATGAATGCTCCTCAAGCCGAGGCTGCACGTCCGATGAAGAGAAAGAAATGGACACCAGAGGAGGATAGGGCGATTCACAAGCACTTCGCACACTTCATCAGCCGTTTCCAAGTTCCTGGAAAAGTGGACTGTGTGAGGGCGATCGCGGCGGAGAGTGCGTTGTCCGCAAGATCGTGGACAGATGTTAAGAACTGCGTATATAACCGCATACAAAAACGAAAGAAACACGGACACTGACAGGTCACTGACGTGTGAGGTGACTTACGAGTCACCTCACGAGTCACCTCACGAGTCACCTCACGAAAGTCACCTCATGAGTCACCTCACGTGTCACCTCACGAGACGTGAGGTGACTCACGTCGCTGTTCAGCTGAGTGTGGATTGTTTTGGGAATACATATTCTCCGTCATTGTCTCTCTTCAGTGTTCTGCTGATACCATTGTATGACAGTAACGAATAGGTACATCTAGTCGTTTGACAATAAAACATGTCTCTTTGAACACCACGACGCCACGACGCTGGAGATGGCCCACGAGCCACCAGTGGAGCCAGATGTGCCGGACGCGGACGTCACCACGGCGGAGAACCTGGTGACCGCCCGCCAGCCGTATCCGGGACCCTCAGCCAGCGCCGGCGCCGCCCCTCCACCTGCAAGCCTTCCCTGTGGAGCAACCGGTGTCGCCAGTCTATCCAGGCAGGCGCTGGCGTACGTCGCTGGGTACGTGGCCGCTAAGTGCGCCACAGTGGACAGCACGCTCGGCAAGATCACGTCTGATGCCAGCGAGGTGCCCCGTGACGAGCGCTACGCCTGGATTGACACAATCAGTCGCGGCGGCCTCACGGTGCCCAGCGCGTGGTGGCTCGAACAAGTTGAGCAGCTGGAGGAACTGTTCACCACCAAGCACGGAGGAGATATCGACCGCGGCCCCGGCGTCGTCAGGCAGCTTGCCGAGGCTGCTGCACGGAAGTTCCCGCAGCTGCATCCACGCGTACTGAGGAGGTACGCTATGACTAGGACGCAGCTGTGATTCGGCGCCTCATCGGCGACCGAGAACATCTCCGAAAGGAGCAGCCTACCTGCAGCCCGGAGGCGACACGTATTTCGGCTACACGTAATCGCAGTTGATAATGCTATTTATTAATAGGAGACTTTGTAATTCACAGGTGCCGTGGCGGTGCCGGCGATCATGCTGCTGCCAAGCCGCGAGACCAGGTGGCCGCGCCGCTGCACTGGCTGTGGCGAGAGCCGGCGGCGGCGTGCCGCAAGACATAAGTGTGGCCTCTCTGCGTCCTGCAAAACTGTTGTGTGGCCTGCGTGTGTTGTTGTTGGTCTGCGTGCCGCGCCGCTGCGCTGGCTGTGGCGGGAGCCGGCGGCGGCGGCGTGCCGCAAGACGTTAGTGTGGCCTCTATGCGTCCAGCAAAACTGTTGTGTGACCTCTCAGTATGCGTGCCGCGCCGCTGCGCTGGCTGTGGCGGGCGCCGGCGGCGGCGGCGTGCCACAAGACTAAGTGTGGCCTCGCTTTTGTGCCGGTCTGGAGCACAGCACGGCGGCGTGCTGTGCTCCAGTGGCGTTTAGTGTGGCGTGGTGGCGAAATTTTTTTGGCATAGCAGGGAGTGGTGTGGCTATATTAATTGTAACGTAAAGCTGTTGATTTATTGACTTATGTTGTTCCAGCCACATTGGGTAAGGGGCACTCCTGGCCGCGTACTCCGTGTGGCGTGGTGGCGAAATTTCATATAAATAACGAACACGTGACACGGGCGATGCGTTACGGGCCACCGCCGGCCACTGGCGGTTAGGCGACCGCAGCGCAGCCTACCGCGGTATGACGGTGTGATAACTGAGGTGTCTCGATGGTATGTTTGACACGTTGTCATCGCTGACAAATTACTGAACCGCGCGGCTGTGCTATCAGGTTCCAGTAGTTTGCCATTGCATTCAGCATATTCCGTTCGCATTGGCATTGGTCATTTCACGATGGAACCGTGCAAATTATATTAGCGGGAAGTTGCGCCATCCCTAGTCACCTCCCACCTCCGCCAGCGCCAGGTCGTGCCTCATCACGGGACAGGCAGTGCCACCTAGGTGCGCCGGGGAGAACTACAGGTCGCATAGTGCCACCAGATGTGCGCTCCCCGCTGAAACCAAGCGACTGCTGATCGAAGCCTTTGTATTCCCTCATGTGCGATACTGTCTGTCTGTGTGGGGAAGCTGCACTGCTACCCAGAGGCGTCGTGTGCAGAAGGCTTTGAATTTTGCCGCGCGCATTGTCAGTAACGTTGGCTACCGCGAGCGAGTGTCACCGGTGTTACACGAGCTTAAATGGCTTAAATGGCTGAAAGTTGACGACCTTATCTATGAACATGATGTCTTGCTAGTACGAGCACTCCTCATGGACGATCGAGCACCCGAGCCTCTGCGCGAGCGAGTTGTTCGTCGCTCTGACGTATCCTGTCGCATCACCCGCTCGAGCATGGAAACACTGCTGGAACTGCCGCGTGTCCGCACTGAGTTTGGCCGCCGCTGTTTCTGGCCTCGTGCGTGTAGAGCCTGGAACGATTTGCCCACGGACTTACGAGCGTCGGCCGCAGGTAGCAGCGGCGCTTTCAAAGCCGCTTTGAGGTCATACCTGTTGGCTAGATGAGGCCCACCGAAGTAGTACCTGTCGTTCATGTGCCGTGTCTTTTATGTGCGTTTTAAATCTTGCCCTGCTCTTGTCATACGCATTTTAAACCTGTATTTATGTTAACTGACGTGAATGCTCGAAAACCCACCATGTGGAAGCACCTAAATACATACATACATACATACAGATGTCGCGCACACACGACAGGCGCAGATATATGGATTTTAGAACGTGGGTGATATATTGTAACAGCGTTGATTTCTACCATGAATGTATTTTAGCAACTCACAGCGTGAGCGCAGGCACTGGAGCCACAACGGCTACCACAACTGCACGTAAGTAAGTCCGACATACGACTTATGTTGGACTCGAGGCAACGCTGCCCAAGCGGCCTTTTCCGTTAGGACGCCGAGCGACGGAGTGCGCGCAGCGATTTTTTTATTTTTACCGGTTGAAACCCGCGGAGAGTAGAGTGATAGCTATTAGCGGCGGCTACCGCCACCATGGGACGACCAAGAAGGAACACCGGTGAGCTACCAGCTATCCGGCCTGTTAGTTACGCGCGGGCCCTTCGCACGAGGCAATCATGGCGCCCCCCTCTAACCGGCGGTCTATTTGCGTCAGCAAATTAGTCTGCCAAGTTGCTTGAATACTGGCAGTTCGCACATTTGTTCTGTTACTACCCTTCGCCCCATACTACTGTGGACGTCAAACCGCGTGGGACGCGACTTTTTCGCAATAACTTTTGAATACGTTGCCTCTCAAGAACGAAACCTCGGCAATGGACATTTCAGACCCCGGCCTAATTTTTATTATTAGGTTTTTTAATGTCAAATAAATATTTAGGGTACTTCCCGTTCACTCGTAATGCTAAGTGAAATATCAGCCCGGATGGCGGCTATCGTCAGGCTGCTCGCGAAGCCCCGCCTACTAACTACGAATTCCCTGCCATCTACCGTTCAGACACGACTGCCATCTGTTGGTCGATCCTCACTCAGAACCGGTTCTGCATGCTGTGTGCGTCGGGTCTCAGATGGGCGGACATCTCGAAACCGATATTGTTCAGCATGGCCTTTTACCAGACTTTTTAATCCGATAAAAAACCGAGATTGTTCAGTATGGCCCTTTACCAAATTAACTATACGAATTATTGACTTAGCAGCAGGGATGCAGAGCCTTGAACATTTGAGTCAGCTCCAGCTCCGGCTCCGGCTCCGAGTAAAATGGCAATACGGCTCCGGCTCCGGCTCCCACTCAGGGCAAAATATGACGGCTCCGGCGGATCCGGCTCCCCTCCGGCTATGCGTACCGGTGCATTACGGAAACATTTAAGTTGGGGCATATTGGGGCTTGGCAGGATAACACGAAGCGTACTAACGTTCCTGGCGGTTTGATATCTACAAGAACCTACAATTAAAGTGTTAATTAAAAAAATTAACTTGACTGTGTAAATATATTATATGATTATGTATCTCATTTACGTAATTACGTTGACAAACTTATTAAATAGTTATTTAATTATTTTCTGTTATTCTTAATCATCGTAATATTTGGCGTAACGCGTATAGTCTTCCTATCTGGGTGACATTCTTAGCGAGTCGAAGAAAATATTTCATTGATAGAATTGATAGAATTCTCAGTTTATCGCGGCTTCCTTCACGGTTAAATACCGACAAGAGGCGCATTGCAAATACATTCTTGCAGCCCTTAGGGCAAGCATGAATAACGTACGCCATGCGGCTGGGTGTGTTGGCAGGAAGCACCGCGTACCAACCCCTACGGACCGCGACTGACCGGTCTCGGGTCAGGTAGCGCCTCAGGCAACGGCCAGCCGAGGCGGAGCTTAGCTCCAACGTCACACTATGGCTCCGCCCCTTGTGGAGTAGCCTCTGCTCACCGAGAGAGTTTCAGGAGCAAAATTTAACCCGCGCCCCACTGGGGGGGGGGGCTATTTATAGCCCCCCCTCCCGTTTTTCTGCAATAACTTCCAAACCGCTTGACGGATCGACGCCAAACTTTCAGTACCTTCGGCTGCATCAATTTGACACCTTGTGTCAAAATTTGAACTTCGTAGCTACCATAGGTCGCCCGGAAATTTGGGAGGTTGTTAAGCTAGATCCATTTTCTTTGCATGAAAGGACTTAAAATTGACCGCGCTATCAAACTGCTATCTCGGATTTTCAAAATTTTGAAAAATTCGAAAATTTTATATAATAATATTCAAAATTTATATTTTTATATTTTTTTTCAAAAAGTTTTCAACTTTTCGAAAAAAAAACTGGAATATATATGACAGAACGCATTATTATGACTAACTCTAGCAAGTTTTAGCTAAATATCTTCAAAAATGGCCAAGTTATACGCATTATTGCAAAAAATTCACAATTATCAATTTTTCAAATCAATTTTTCAGTACGTACTTGACATTGTACACCAATATAAATGGCACCATCGTGTTCCTGAGCTCAAACTGCATCCAATAGACACCTTTTTTGTTGAAAAATTTAAACTTCAAAATTTGACCTTTTTTGACCTGAAAGTGACCTGACCTAAGCTAAATTCGACTCAAAATGACCTCGAATGACACAGACGACATCAAATTCGAAATCTTTGGCCTAAATGGACCATAAAACATGTGTCACGTGACCGACGCATGATATAATATTCTCGTGACCTGTGATGACCTGACCCTGACCTGAAAATCAAGGTACAAGTTTGGTACCCTCAAGGTATCTAGAGCATCTGTTCACGAGTGTGGAAACCAAAAATGAGCCTGATCTGACTTGTAAGACGGCGGCCAGAGCCCAAAATGTGAACAAGCCAAAGTGCTAATAATTTTTACTTTGACCTGACCTGTGACGTCATCGGTGACCTCGAGGTCAATGAAATTAGGTTTCGCTCGACAGTTTTTCCGGGGCTATCAGACGCCGTTTGAATTTTGACGATCGGCCCAGTAGTTTCGGAGTTAGGAGGGGGGGCTATGAATAGCCCCCCCCCCCCCCCAGTAGGGCGTGTTATACACAGACCCCAGTGGGGCGCGGGTTAACATTACGAGTGAACGGGAAGTGCCCTAAATATTGATCGGACATTGAAAAACCTTAGTAATAAAAATTAGGCCGGGGTCTGAAACGTCCATTGCCGAGGTTTCGTTCTTGAGAGGCAACGCATTCAAAAGTTATTGCGAAAAAGTCGCGTCCCACGCGGTTTGACGTCCACAGTAATGTCGTCGCCTGTCTCAGATACTCAGTTGGCCCTCGTATGACGGTGGATAACTGTCAGAGTGACGCTGCTGGGCGTCCCCCGCGCGCTAGATGGGTGATCCGCTGCTGCTCGATGAGATGTTATCAGCTCCTCAAGGACAAGTTCTAGTTCCCGCTGCCCGGACTCTCCACCATCCACCG